AAGAGCACACACTCAGCAGTGAGTAGTGAACACACACACACACACACACACACTCACCCACCCAGAGCAGTGGGCAGCCATTTTTGCTGCGGCTCTCTCTCTCAGGTCCGACTCTCTAACCATTAGGCCACGACTGCCACGGAGAGGGAGATGTGTGTGTGTGTGCTTGTATGGGGCCTCATCATCAAAGATTTGATTACTTCGGCAACCTTAAACACAAAACCTCGCCATATTTTCCTTTGTATTATGTGGAATTATATTTTTGTCCCTAGAGTTGAGGTATTTTCTGTGCAGTGGCTGTATTTTGGCTCGTGACATTTCTCAGCATTATGAAAATGTTGGCAGTCCAGGCTTCTAAACAGCTGTTCCGTGTCTTTGAGCTCACAGACATCAGCGAGTTCGATTTCTGGCTCCTTCGCATCTAAATTGTGTGTGCTTGTATGGGGCCTCATCATCAAAGATTTGATTACTTCGGCAACCTTAAACACAAAACCTCGCCATATTTTCCTTTGTATTATGTGGAATTATATTTTTGTCCCTAGAGTTGAGGTATTTTCTGTGCAGTGGCTGTATTTTGGCTCATGACATTTCTCAGCATTATGAAAATGTTGGCAGTCCAGGCTTCTAAACAGCTGTTCCGTGTCTTTGAGCTCACAGACATCAGCGAGTTCGATATCTGGCTCCTTCACAAGCATCTAAATAGCCTGATTTGCTTGAGCAAATGTCAAGCTATTTTTCTTCTCTCAAGCCATATATCCAAATACTGAGTGAAGCACCTAATCTATCCCATCGTACACTGTGCTGTGTTCTGTCGTGAGAACGTCAGCCCCTAAATGTCACTTCATTTTTTTTTTCCACTGATGTTGACAGGTCTTCCTAGCTGCACAGTCCCCTGCCTTTTTGCAGTACTTTTAGGTACTTTAGCTTTTAGGGGTAAAACAGCTTGGTCCAGTACCATCAAAGAGGCACCTTTGCTTCTATTATTTTGTTAAGGGTATGGAAAAAAATACTATGGACAGCAACGGTTACCGTCAACTGTTTGTTTTGGAGTAAATGATGACAGAATTTTCATTTTTGGGTGAACCATCCCTTTAATAATAGTATAGACTATTTGAGGTTAGATAAGTTTGGGGTATATACTTTTTTAATAGCTACTAATTAAAAATGTTATTTAGCATAGATGCATTAAATTAATCAAAAGTGAAAGCAAAGACATTTAAAATGCAAAATATTTTTATTTCAAATAAATGTTCTTTTGAACTTTCAATTTATCAAATAATCCTGAAAAACATGGTTTCCACAAAAAATATTAAGCAGCTAACTGTTTTAAACATTGATCTTAATACTGTTTCTTGAGCACAAAATAGAAGAATGATTTCTGGAGGATCATGTGACACTGAAGTGATGAATGCTGAAAAATCAGCTTTGCCATCCCATGAATAAATTACATATTAAAATATATTAAAATAGAAAACAGTTATTTTAAATTGTAATAATTTTTGCTACAATATTACTATTCTTACTGTATTTTTATCAAATAAATACAGCCTTGGTGAGCATGAGAGGCTTCTTTCAAAAACACGCTCAAACTAATTTAGTTTCACAGTGTTTCTTTATAGTGTTCTCTGAATTTTAGCTGGGTATGAGAAACTGGGATGGGGAAAAAATGACACACTTCACCTTTAAGAATGCTTAATGGAAATGTTCAGCAGCATAGACATCCTAAAGGGAGTTTTCCGCCAATTAAAGGGAGTTTTTCCTGTGTGGGAGAATTACAAGGATGTTTTTTTGTAGCATGGCGAATGAAGATCAGTATGTCTCTCTAGATTTTACTCACCCAGACATCTTGGACGATTGGTTTGGTAACAGAACACCCCTCTAACCACTTATTCACCAGCCCACCAAAGTGTTTGTAGAATTATTTACCAACCTGCACATCAAGCAGCCAAAGACCTGGAGATATTTATCCAGAGCAGGCACAGTGCTGCCCGTTCAAGAGAGAGGAAATGGGAAGGAGAAGGCAGAAAGGCTGATATCTCCTCCCCTGTTTCTGTGCGGTCACAATCTGCTGTGTGATTCAGAACGTGTTCCCGTGAAATCAGTCGTTACAGATGGACACACGCAACAAGACAGCCCGGCTGGGATTTGTCACTGCATCCCTTCACTATATCAGAACAATTTGCTCTGGGTCTTTGAAAGCTCCAGCCAGGCTCACATTAAAGTTGTATCCTGGATGTTATTTAGCTGGATTCTATTTCCAGTTACAAGTGGGTATCTTTACGTACTTTGTGATTCCATTTGATTCATTATAATCAGTCACAGTCCAATTCCAAAGTGATTCTCAGTGCATCTGATTTTTTCTTGTTTTCAGTGTAAATGCACTGTTTTACAGTATACATGCTGCTGCAGACACATACCATTTTGTCTTATGTATACTTTTTCTTTTTTTTTTTAAATCAAATGCTGAATTTGTGTGGATCGATCCAGAATCATTTGAAAATTAATAATGATGCATTGGTGCAAAATGGAAATTTTTTTTTTTGTATTCAATAATGATCCAAATGCGGTTTCCTTGATCCGATCACAGTACATTATACTTAGTTTTTCAAGTGTTCATGTGCTATCTGATTATGAAATGATCAACCAAAATTGCATGTTAGATGTAAAGCGGGCTTCTATAGGAAGTAAATGTGTGAAAGGAAAAGGAGAACCACTCACAGACCATTTGGCTTTTCTTTGAGTGCATTTAAATTGCATATGTTTGTTTAAACAGGTTAAATGCCTTTAAATATAATGCTTGAATGCACTCACAGAGGAAAGATTAGGTTTCAGTGTTGTATTACGGTCACTGATCTGAATGTACTTATTTACTGTAAGCTGAAACTAGACTTCTACGAATGGCCCATGTGGTATATGGCACTTCTTGTTCTATATTCTGTTATTTTGACAAACGCTATACATTGAAACTTTCCTTTTTTAGGTGGTTCTTTATGGTCTGCAATAGGGCTGTGCGATTACAAATCAGAAAATGTCATTTTAACATCAGTGTGGAACATACAAACAAAAAAAATTAATGACACTAATTTTATATCATTCATATCTTTGCTTTCCATACACTTTAAGTACTTCTTCATATACCACAGCAAAACCTATAGTCTGAGAAAGTTCAAACATGATTAAAGGCAAGTGAGCAGTCAGTAAAAAAAAAAGAAATGCACGTTACAAGCATAGATAAAATAAACAGTAGTATTCAGATACAGAAATTTTGTATGAATTAAAAAGGCTGCTGTCCCTTTAAATCCGACTGCACGGATCCAGTATAAATGATACACATCCGATTTCTTTCTCAGCTGTTTACATTCATTTAAAACATAACTGACTGCATTTACGAGAATGATCGTCGAGACGGGTACTATTGACATAATTTGTGTGTATGTTTCTGTGTGTATGTGTCTGTTCAAACATGAGGAGGAGATGCGAAAGACGAATCAACTCGGTATTCGCGCGCTGTCTGAAACACGTCTCTCTCTGTGTGTGCGCGCTGCGCGAGATACGGCTTGTGCGCGCGCTTCAGGTGTGAGTCAGGCAGCAAGACGAGACGGCAAGGAGTTGTTTTCTGCAACTTATTGCACTGAACTCTTTTTAACGTCAAGCAATTCTCTGCTATATGCGTCGAACTAAAACTTTGACCTTTTGCAACGTTTTGATTTAAGTAGCCTATTATTAAAGTGATTCAGATATCGCACGCCCTTGCGATATGCATATTGCGATATTTCGATAATTTCGATATATCGTGCAGCCCTAGTCTGCAACACAATCAGATCCTATTATTCATTTCCATGGGGAATCTTGAGTTCTTTGCTGGTACATGAGGTCAAAAAGAAAAGACATCAGCTATTTAAATTCTAAATGCCCTCTACATTTCTACTCCCCTCCCCCAGACAGGAAGGAAGTTCGTGCATCCCTGTGCTTTCCCACCATTCACGCCACTCTAACAGGAAGTGATGTCACACAGAGGTACATACAGATCGCGTGCTTACTGGCACATGACTAGCCCATTAGTCATGTCTGATTTGTGATTAAATAGTTAGAATAAACCAGTTATTTTTAATGACTCTGTCAAACTGGTTTGCAAAACTGAGAACTTTAGGTAAAATGGTATGCAGATGACTAGGCACAGATGAAATATGCCGACACATTTCCTTGGGGTTTTTGAGATAAAATCTCAAAACATGGCAACATGTGTTAAACTGCAGAACCCGAGAAATCTACTGAGTAGGGTGTAGATTTCTTGTGGGCCTGGAAATGACTCAAACAGATCACTGAATCATTTTGAACCTGTTCTTTGACACCTAATGATTTGTTAAAGTGAATCAGACCTCCCAGACAATGTGAACATAACCGTGTGAGTTAGTTTCAGTTTCAGTGCAATGTGCCCTTCAAGTAGAGTTGGAAATATTGTAATGACAAGTTTCAAGCGCATGAATGACCAATCAAAGTTGTATTTACAAATGGGAAACTCAGAATTCTAGATGATGCACAAGTTGCCGAGTTGTGATGTTGGCAGGGCTGTGTCGATTTGAAACATGGCGGAAACACTGATCTATAATATAGGTGATATTGTATCTTTAATCCATATAGAGATCAGTTAGTGAAAACCAAGTCTTTTGCACATGGTGTTAATCACTTAATATTCACGGTTTGCTTCACATACAGCTGTGATGCCATGTATACTTAAGTGATAGAAATTAATATTTTTTAGATGTAATCAGTAGCTGAAAACAAAACAAAAAAATTATATTGTGAATAATAGATGTTCACAATATCATTATTTTGTTTTGTTTTTTAGATACTTCAATGTTATGATTCCGACTTGAACGCATGACCTGTTGTAATAACGAACGCCTGACTCGGAGGTACGAGTTTTGCTGGTGCACTTGAAGGCAGTGCAAGTCTCAGATTTATTGTATTAATCATTTTTCTCCTTGTTTGTGGTATAGGTTCCTGTAGCGCACTGTTTCGGTCCCGCCGGCCAGAAGAAGAGGTTCTGTTGTGTTTGCCGAAAGCATCTGGAAGGCAGTTCAGCTCTGCGCTGTGAAGGTGTGTGTGTTTTTTTTTCTACAGTATGATGGCATCAGGATGTTTTCACCCTAGTAATGATTCCAATCACTTTATTTAAGGGCATTGATCACAAGACATGAGCTGACTTTGCCACAAGCAGAATACCAAACCTAGGCCTGTCACGATAACATCTTTTTGTTGTGCGATATATTGCCCCAGAAATAATTGCGATAAGTGATATTATTGTCATTTTAAAGACCATTTTATGCCACTGAATATATAATCTTAATGTAACAGCATAATAATGCAAGAAGGCCTACACACTTCCAAATGAGAACAAACTTTTAATTTTAAAAAATATTTAGATCATGGAAATTAAGTATCAAAATATTAGATACCTTAAAAAACCTGAATAAATAGTAAATGAACATTTTCTAACAAAAAGTGCAAAGTAACAATTAGAAAAAAAGAAAAATGCACAAAGAGCATGTATGGAGATTTTTCCATCTACAGATTTTTCCCTGACCTTCTTTTCTCTGTAAATTAAGGGCGCACACAATTGCTGAAAAACAATCACTACTTATCAGCCAGATCCCTAAACAAGACCATATCTGCAGATTTTAAATTTGACCACTGTGCGCAATAGTACGAGATGTGTACCACGTTATGTACGAGAAGCTGCAAAAGACACAGGTGGAAGTGGAATGTAAAAAACACGGTGACATTAATTTTTAAGTAAATATAATGGGCGATATATTGCGTCACCAAAAATGATTGAGGTCATGTACATATATTGTGCGATAAGTCGATATTGATTATTGCGACAGGCCTAACCAAACCTGTCCAAATAAACAAATTTGGGCTCAATTCTGACCATTTTTCTGCCAGAATGAATGCATTTCAAATGCAAATAGGTTAGTCAATCATAACAGAAGTAATTTTTTGTCTTAAAGGGATAGTTCACCCAAATTAAAATTCTGTCATGATTTGCTCTCCCTCTTGTTGTTCCAAACCTGTATGACCATCTTTTTTCAGTGGAACGTAAAAGAAGATTTTTTTTTTGTGTGTGTGTGTGTGTGTCTATACTATGGAAGTAAACTAAAACTGTTTGGTTACCATCATTCTTCAAAATATAGAGTGAATAAATGATGAAAGAATTTCTTTTTTTTGGTTGAACTGTCCCTTTAAAGCTATAGTAGCAAAAGCAGTCTGTTTAATTATAAGGGTCAGAGAGAGGGTGGAAAATGTTAGTTAAATTAAATTACAGTCTCGACTTAAAAGTGGTCTTTTGGGAAAAGAACCATAATTGCTAGAAAGGTGTAGGTGTGGCCTATTGAAAGTCTGTCAGTTGCTGTTGGTTAGATATGTTTTCCTTGCTGATACACATTAAAGGGATAGTTCACCCAAAAATGAAAATTCTGTCATTAATTACTCACTCTCATGTTGTTCCAAACCTGTAAGACCTTCGTTCATCTTCAGAACAAAAATTAAGATATTTTTGATGAAATCCAAGAGCTTTCTGACCCTGCATAGACAGCAGTGCAACTACCACGCTCAAGGCCCAGAAAGGTAGTAAGAACATCGATAAAATAGTCTGTGACATCAGTGGTTTTATGAAGCGATGAGAGCAATTGTTTGTGCTCAAAAAAACTAAAGTTGTTATTTTTGTCTGCGCACGTAACTCAAAGCTTCATAACATTATGGTTGAACAACTGATGTCACATGGACTATTTTAATGATGTTCTTACTACCTTTATGGGCTTTGAACGTGGTAGCTGCATTGCTGTCTATGCAGGGTCAGAAAGCTCTCAGATTTCATCAAAAATATCTTAATTTGTGCTCCAAAGCTGAATAAAGGTCTTATGAGTTTGGAATGTCATGAGAGTGAGTAATTAATGACAGAATTTTCATTTTTGGGTGAACTATCCCTTTAAGATGGTTTGCTGTTCAAGCTGTTTTGTTTTGCTGGTTTTAGAGGTGTTTTTTACAGTTCTTTCAGTTCTTTGACCAACTAAACTAGCATAGCCAGGCCAGCAACCCAAGCTTAAACAAGCTTAATGGATGAAACTAGGCAGATTAAAGCAGGTTTTTCCCCCCCACAGTGTTATGGTTGTCTTCTGTGCTCAACGGCCTTTCTGCCTTATTTTAATAATCAGATTCTCTCAATGTTTTCTCTGAAACCTTTTTTGTTTCTTCTGTTTCCTCAAACCATCTTGGTCTTTTATTTTATTAAATTTTTTAAAATTCTGTTATTGCTCATTTGTCTGTGCTGGTCGTCCCTGTTTGGAAAGCAGCTGTTGCCGTGGAAATGGCAGAATGGCCTTTTGCAGTGGGCTGAATTCTAAGAAAAACATTGCACTCCAACTCTCTCTTTCTATTTCTCTTCCTCTCTCTGTGCTTACAAAAGGCGCAAATGAAGCTCAGAAGAAAAGTCGGTCTTTAATTCCCACGCCCACTCAAAACATTTGTTACAGCAACATGAGTTCAGTGACTTTTTCCTCTAGCAGACCTGTAACACCTCACAGGCAGTACTAGTTCATCACATTTCCTCTGTCCTATGGAAATAAAAATGTATTTACCAACTGTTCTGCCTCATGTTTGCTTAGTGGATAAATCATACAAAGAGACTCCATGATCTTTCAGTAACCTCACCTCACATGTCTTTCAGTGTGTGAGCTACACGTTCACAGCGACTGTGCCCCGTTCAGCGTTAGCGACTGTCGTGTCTGCCACCAAGATGGAGGGCAAGACGTTGTGAGTATGAGAACCAGGACTGCACCATCTACTGATGTATTAACCTGACTAAAGCCAGTACACCAGAGAATAAAACCATGGCTGACCTCCACTTGCTTTTATTATATAAATATAAATTAACATAAATTGTTTTATTTCATAAATTAGAGCTTGCATTAACTGAACATGTTACATAATTTACCAAATAAAGCAATTGATGTACAATGCAAAATGATTTCTGGCATTTTGACAGATACTTATCTGGACTTTTCTATACTTCAGAAACGCTCCCACAGCAAAGGATTCTAATAGGGATTAGAATTGAAAAAAAAAGAAATATAATTGTATTTCCCCTTGAGAAAATAGGTTGTGACATAAGTGAGAATTGGAGAGAAAAACAAGAAACTCCAAGTTTACTCTAGTGGAATAATTCATAGGATGTGGTTTATTGAAATGGGTGACTAGATTGCAAGGTTGCAGCCTGTTTTCTTTTACATTTTCACCTTACAAGAGGCAGAATAAAAAAAAAATAAAAAAAACACAGTGATTGATGAAACAAAGAGCTTTTGCCACTGAAGTTGTGATGTAAATGTCACAAATACAGAGCGTTACAACATTTTACTGACAAAAAAGAGAGATGGAAAATTTACAAGCCCGTCCACCTAAGTGATGGATAATAATTATATATAGTGCATCCTCTTAGAAACATCTGAGACGTGAAAAGGTGTAAAGGGCAAAAAATCACCACATTAGTCAAACAAGTTTGAAGACTGAAATTATTCCCTAGTACTCAAGATAATTTACTTTATTAGAATATGATCGTCTTATAATTAGATTTACTTACTTAGAAATAGAATTATATAATTGGATCATTTCTAATTATAGATCAAACTTTATCCTACCCCTAAACTTGAAGGGAAATGATAGGTTGATAAGAAGCGTAACACAGATGTTGATCCAGGAGCATGTCCTGGGTTAATCACATTCCCTAGCTTTATTTTTGCTCTAGATTGTGTTATTGGCCACATGGTTATTCCTAACCCATCATCCCCTCCTGCTCTGATAGGACACGTACCAGCACCACTGGCGGGAGGGGAACATGTCCTCAGGTGCCCGCTGTGAGGTGTGTCGTCGCACCTGCAGTTCTTCGGACACCCTGGCTGGCATGAGATGCGAGTGGTGTGGGGTTACAGTAAGTGTGTGGTTTTTAAAGTTCACCCAATCTTTACTTGTCTTATTCAACGCTTTCAGTTTGCCTGTTGTCGGTTGTATTCATCACATAAACGGCTTCATTATTTAGTTATAAGAATGACGGTGAGTTGGCTTTCAGACTGTCGTGTCTCACAATGAATCAATCTATTATTTAACAGGTGCAATGTAGGATGCAGCTCCTGTCAGCACTTACAAAATTGTACTCGGGTTGAAGTTGAACCTTGCTGTGTTTTTGTTCTTTTGCCATTTTGGCAGTGGATATTTTTTCTATTGTGTGGCCTGGTTTCTTGGTTTTAACATGGTTAGGTGCCACATTAACTTTATCAACTTCCAAAACTATTACTATGGCCTGAAATGGAAAATTCCAAAATTGTTGAACATGTATGTACTTGTAGGCTACCATTCAAAAGTTTGGGGTTGGTAAGGTTTTTTAAGTCTCTTACGCTCACCAAGGCTGCAGTTTTTTTTAATTATTTATTTTTTTATAGCAAAAATAGAGTAATATTGTGGAAATATTATTACAATTTACATTAACTGTTTTTTTATTTTATTTTAATATATTTAAAATTTTAATTTAATCCTGTGATGCAAAGCTGAATTTTCAGCAGCCAGTCTTCAGTGTCACGTGATCCTTCAGAAATCATTTTAATATGCTGATTTGTTGGTCAAGAAACATTTCTTATTATTATCAATGTTGAAAAGTTGTTTTTGTGGAAACTGTGGTACAATTTTCATTAAATTTCAAGATTCTTTTGTAAATAGAAAGTTCAAAATAACATTTGTAACATTACTTTAAATTTAGCAGACAGTTTTATCCAAAGCGACTTACAAATGAGGACAATAAAAGCAGTCAAAACTAACAAAAGAGCAACAAGACAAGTCTCAGTTAGCCTAGCGCAGTACACGTAGCAAGGTAATCTTACAGCGGCATTTTGGATTAGTTGTAGAGGTTTGATAGAAGTGGCTGGAAGACCTGCCAAGAGAACATTGCAATAGTCCAGCCTGGATAGAACAAGAGCTTGAACAAGGAGTTGTGTTGCATGTTCTGAAAGAAATTTAACATTATAAATGCCTTTACTGTCACTTTAGATCAATTTATTGCATCCTTGCTGAATAAAGTTTTAATTTCTTTCAAAAATAAATAAATAATCAATCAGTCAATCTTACAGACCCCAACATTTCAATGGTAGTGTTGTGTTTGTCCTCGTGATGCCTTTTTCCAAATCAATTGTCAATACGTTCATTTTACATTCTGCATTTTTGCCATTAAATGTATGACTGTGCTCCAAATCACTCATGTATGAGTTTCCATTTCACCAAGAATGCTTAATTAGAAGTCACCTGCCTATGTAGGTAGGCAGTGAGTGAGGCAGGTTTTGGTAGAGTGCCATTGTGTAAATAGTATCGCATCAGGGCGTTCCAATGACTCACTCTCCACCTTTTCCCGCATTATGTTTAATTTAGCCCCTGGTGATAAAAAGCTCTACTCTACTGCACTTCAGCTATCAGACCATGTCCGTCTGAACACTAGCATGCATTTTATCACCTCCCCAGCAAGTTTTTCATCATGTAGGTTAGTAGATGATGTAAGCACCAGTGCCTGAGCAGGTTTTTTGAGGACAGAGACTGCAGGGTACATATTTGAAATGGTTGTTTGCATCTCAAATACGTTGAAAGCATAAACCTCAAGGATTTAGAGGGATTTGAGAACAAAGGCACAAGGACTTACACACACACACTGTAGCTGTACTTTTATTTTAGCCGTGTTGGTGTGGTCTAGTGGCCAAAGCTCTATTTTGGTAACCGAAATGTTGTTGGTTGAAACCCTGCAAAGGTCAGTCCATGCTCTTTAGCAAATCACCTAGCCTTTGGTTAATGTAGCACACTTACTACAGGGACAATCCTCCTATATATTGCTTTGGATATATAAATGTACTGTAGCTTGTAATCTCTTGGCTCGACCACTTATCTATGTTTATATGTTTGCAGGCACATGCGTCATGTTACATAATCATCCCCCCAGAGTGCGGCATGGGGCGGTTGCGGAACATGATTCTTCACCCCAGCTGCGTGCGGATCTGCTCGCGGAACTTCAGCAAAATGCACTGTTACAGAATCTCGGAAAATTCCCACCACAGCGAGATGGGTAATGCCTGGACAGGTTCACATTCTCACTGAAATCTGCAGTAGCTCCTCACTGCAGAACACAAGATGGTTGGATCCACATCTAGGGGGTGGAGATTGGTAGGTTTAGGGGTGGAGCTCTGGGAGATGGGTAGGTTTAGGGGTGGCGATGGGTGGGTTTAGGGATCAGGGGGTGGAGACGGGTAGGTTTAGGTATATGTAAGATGGGAGGAGTTGGATCTGGATCAAACCACACCCCCTGGATCTTGTGTTCTGCAGTGAGGACCATCTCGAAATCTGAGTGGACACCTTAAACTGAAAAATGTTCAGGTTTACAAGTTCTGTGGACAGCATGTGTGGCATGCAGTTCATTAGCACAGACAATCATTTTTACTTATCCATCACCTTTGTAAAGTAAAATTGTGTTTATAGTAATGCACTTAAAAATAATTACAGATTTGGAGTCTGTGAGAATAAAAAAAAAAACATAATACATTTATTCAGCAATGATGCATTAAATTTATCAAAAGTGACAGTAAAGATATTTATAATTTATAATGTTAATGTTAAAGATTTCTGTTTCAATAAATGCTGCTCCTGAAGCAAAAATATTAAGCAGCATAACTGTTCATCATTGATAATAATAAGAAATGTTACTTAAGCAGCAATTCAGCATATTGGAATGATTTCTGAAAGATCATGTGACACTGAAGACTGGAGTAATGAATCTGAAATTACAACATTTTCATCACAGGAATAAATTATATTTTAAAATATATTAAAACAAAAACAACTTATTTAAAAAGTGTTATTTTAAATTGAAATAGTATTTCACAATATTAATGTTTTTTACTGTATTTTTGATCAATTAAATGCAGCCTTGGTGAGCCTAAGAGACTTCTTTCATAAGCAATCTTTAAAAAAAATCCTATTGACTCTAAAGGTTTGAATAGTAGTGTATGAAGTATATATGTATATACATTAAAAAAGCTGGCTAAAACATTCTTTTAGTGACGGAACTGCTGTTGTAGACAGATGGATTTTGAGACAGATGAAATGGTATTCTTGCACAGATAATATATGAAAGTTACAGTGATTATTTTGGCAATAACTTTGCATAGTTTATCAATCTAGTCTTATGATACACACATAATTGGGAAGTCTGTGGTGTGAGTTGTGTTTTATATCCCATAGCCGTGCACAATAGATTTCCATTGTAAGTGTATTACTGAACACTTGATTTTTACTTGTTCTTACGAACTGGGAGACATATCACAATTGTTTTCTGTGGTACTTGACAGCTTGTCACAGATGTATTGAACTTGTACTGAACTCGGAACATTTCTTCAGTCTCAGTGAGCACAATAATTCTATTCTGCTTTAATTACTACTTTCTGCGATTAAATGTGTAAGCCTGGAAAATAAGATGGTTGGGAAATTGCACATTTAATGCCCCTTAATTCATTGTTAAGAGTGTCATGTTCACCTCTGAATATCAAATAACAAGCTCACATGTCTGCGAATGCTAATATAATAGAGAAGTGTTTTCTCCAGATAACCTGGATGATGTCGATACTCAGAGTCCAGTAACTTCAAAGGAAACTCAGTCTACGGGATCCGCTGACACGGGTACAAACCTGGGCAAAATTCATATGGATAATAGTAATCACCTTTGCGCCCATATTAATTTCCGTTCTCCTGGCCTACAGGTAAACAGACGCTGAAAGTTTTTGATGGTGACGATGCAGCTAAGCGGAATCAGTTTCGTTTGGTTTCAATCCCTCGAATAATCAAGAATGAGGAAGTAGTGGTGAGATATTTTTTTTTTTACCTAATCAGGTTTCACCAGAATTAAACTTTTACATTGTACAACTCAAAATTGTTATTGTAAAGACCATGCCTGAATAAAACTTTTTTTGTCAGTGTTATGCTGATTTCTTACTTCCTGTCCTGACAGGAAGCATCGCTCAGAGCGTTCTACATCCCAGATGAACTGCAGGATTACGAGCTACAGAGTTATAGCCAACAGGGACTGTTTACAGATGACATCATCAACCGTAACGGCACACCAGACAACAAGCCCATTTTTAAGGATACCGTGTCTGATTCCTGGCTGCTCAGATCAAAACCCAGAGAAGTGGAAGTGATGAAGATTTATCCCGGCTCGCTCAAGTGAGCTCGACTTCTGCTTTTAGTGCATATTTGCTGTTTTGTTTTGTGTTGTCCGGCTTTCATAACTACATAGATTCACAAGGAATATCGGAGATTAAATACATTGAGTCATTTATTTAACCAATCCGTTCAAATGGCTGATTCATTCACTCATTCATTCAGTCTTTATGAATGGGTCGTTTAATCACTGACTCACCCGATTCATTAAAAAAAAAACAGATTCATTCAGCAGAGGCGCCTTAAGATAACCAAAGGCCCCTGGGCTACAGCATTACAGTAGGCCCGCTGACCCCAGAAAACCTCTTTTTCTTTTTTTTTAAGCTTCCTAACACTTATTTGTCAAATTTCGTTTTTTGTCTTGTTTATATGCCAGTTAACATTCACAACACTGTTCTGCGTAAAATGTGAATATAAGCGAATCTGCAAATTCACTCTTTGCCACAAGGTGGCGCTTGTGGAACAGCAGAATCATATAGCCATTACATAAAGTAAACAAAACGTTATTACGGGCATTATACAGAGGTAATATGAAAGGAAAATGCCATCACAACTTTCCTGGCTGAAATGTGAGTTTACAGGTATGATTTAAACACCATAAATCACACAAAATATGAATTATTCATCATCAGTAGATCAAAACAACATGGCATGTTGGCATAAATGTGGGTTATTTGGTGATTGCTAACTGCGTTTTTAATTTGAAACTTGACGTGCTCACGTTTAATTAGTTAAATCACAGCCATATAAAGTTTAATGATCACATTTAAGCAATAGGACAATTTCTATTTTTCTGGGGCACAATCCTGGGCTTCAGCCCCTTGGAGCCCATGCATTAATGCGCCCCTGTCATTCAGTAACGAAACAATGCTGTGCGATTCTCAAAGACGCGCAGCGGTTCTGATTATTTCCTGTATTTTCTTTGGGGAAATAAAGCAAACAACAGACAATATTGTGTCTAAAATGTAACTTACAATATTAACTTGCTTATTGAGCTGCTGTATAAAATCAGTTTTACATTTGCAATTGTTCTGATATTCAGGGAAAACCGCACTGTTGCTCATGTGATATTGCTAAACTATATCATATGATAAAAACAAAACAAAAACACATAGAGGGGCATTAAGGTCCCCATATTTTGAATTTTGAGGGTATTCTAATGGTATTGCAGCTCGCACTTTGTTATTGTTTGTAGGCGATACATATTGCACACCACTATTTTATAGTTACTTTATATAAATAAGCAGAACACAATGGAATTTTTTTTACATACAAAATGGTGTTATATAAAATTTTAGAGGCTAGCACATCGTAAAGATGTGCAGTTCTTATGTAAATATGGGAAATACAGCTTACAGTTTACTTATCTAAGGGTTTTATGGCGCATCAGTCCTCTCGCTTTTCCAAACAAACCCTAAATCATCTCCAGACATCGCAAGGAAATTGACAATAGCAGTGTCGTGTGCCACTCGGCGAAGGCAAGTGTATATAAAACCCATCAAAACATACATGGCACAACTGATGACAAGCTTGCTGTTGTGTATCTGGTTGCCACGGAGATGGAGTGACACAGCATCCATGGTTTACCTTAGATGTTGTTGCCATGCCAGCAGGAAATGGATCACAAATGCTGATGGAACCTCGTTGCCTACAGAAACTCGTCAGGAAACCTTTAGAGTTCATGAAAAGAATAGCAGTGCCACTCATGTGCTTGATGTTTCCATTAGATCAGACCTTTTGTTTTGTTAATGGGGGTCTGGAACTAATGAAGTATTTTGTGTTTTTTTTTTACAGTTTTGAGTCAGGGAGGCAGTGAGTCAGACTTAACACATGCTGCCAGTTAGCACCACAATCAGACGTTAATGTTCTTATGCAATATTTGACCACAGTAAAACAAAACATTGTCCGAAGTTTCAGTGGCAGACCAGTGTGTGATTTATACGGTGCCAGATTGCTGATGAATCATGGGATGGAACGTTTTTCAATGCTTAATGTTTTCAAATATTGCCGTAATGAGGAAAGTTCTTTCACGTGTGTTTCAGGGTTGGAGTCACCTCAGTTACTGCTGGGAAAAGCAGCACAGTAGACTCAATCGTAAAGGAAGTGCTGTCACAAACAGGAAAACAGGTACCTTGGAATTGAATTCTCAAAAACACAACTTAAATTTATTTGAATAAACCCTTTAACTCTACGTATTAGTACGGTACCTCAAAACTTAGAAATCTGTACCATTATAAGCCATCAAAAGATTTTTTTGCTTACCACATAGCAGTCACACCCTTGTATCCTAGTGGGAACTTTTGCTCAGGCAAACGCCACAATATATTTTTCAGAAAATGCATCAAATCTAGTTATTTGTACTTTATGTACAATTTGTATGTTAATCCACATGGTTTCTGCAAATGTCCATAGAATGAAAACCCTACTGACTTCAACCTTGTAGAAGTTTTCATGAGCAGCAAACAAGGTAAGATGTCTTACATAGGTTGTATATATTTTCAATAAATAAATGTTTATTTATAATATAAGTAACGCAATATTGTAACGCATTACTTTTAAAAGTAACTTTCCCCAACACTGCTTATATCACATATTTTTATATCTTATAAATTGAATTTATTGCTAGAACATTTTTTTTATATTTTATATTCATTAAATTCAAAACTACATACAGTAATAGTAAATATGATTTGCCTGGTTTTTATGTAATTGTCTCCAAGTATCTTTAAGAGTCTGATTGATATTAAAGGCATTTGTTGTGCAAACCCTTACAGCACATAGAAAAGCTTAGAAAAATGTGGAAGGGTTTCACGATATCCTGACCTTGTGTTTCTTATCCATCTTCAGTGCAACGGCAAGTCCTCAGCGGTCAGGAGATTTTACTGGACAAACTGCAGGAGATACGGAAGGTATGTGAGGCGGGTCATGATGATTTTGCTTTGTATTTGGAAAACACTCAAAGGTGATGAGCCCTGATAAGCACAGCACACTTATCTTACTGTGTGTGTGCTTGTTATGGAAAAGATGAGAGCTTCTTGGTTGTCTCAAACTCTGATTCTGAGCTTGTGACTTTCAGACATCGTTGCGACAGATGAATCAGACACGGTTTTACATCGAGGAAAGCAGGAATCGAGTGGCACAAGTCAATCTGCTCTTGGGAGGCTTTCCGACACAGCTTGACAGAGAGGAATACACACACCTGCTATCCGAACACCTCGCAGTCAAAAGTGAGTCTGTGTGTGCTCATATGATGTGTAAGCTCAAGATTTAAATGGCTCAGGTCCTTTGGATTTTAGCCGTTCATCTCATCAGTCTCTTAGGATTTTATTCATCTTTCCATGAAATTGTCCTTGCACAATGCTGACCTGTAAGTCTGACATGAGGCATCTTGTGTACTCATCGCCGCTCTGCTGGGAGGGATTAGAACGGATGATAAAGTGACTGCTGGGCATTTATTGTGATTGGAGGGTTAAAGGAATAGTTCAACCAAAAATGAAAATTAGCTGAAAGTGTACTCCCCATCAGGCCATCCAAGATGTAGATCTGTTGGTTTCTTCATCAGAACAGATTTGGAGAAATTTAGCATTGCATCATTTTCTCACCAGTGGATCCTCTGCAGTGAATGGGTGCCGTCAGAATGAGAGTCCAAACAGCTGATAAAACATCACAATGATCCACAAGTAATCCAGTCCATCGATTAATGTCTTGTGAGATGATTGCTTGTTTGTAAAAAACAAATCCACCATTAAGTGTTACCATGTAAAGCGTTTTAACTTTAAATTGTTGCTTCTGGCCAAAATACGAATTTATAATCCATAATAATGCTTCTTCCAGTGAAAAACTCCATCCCCTGTTGTCCTCTCACATCAAAATCCACCGACATAATTGTTTAGAACTGTTTTCACCTAAACAGTGCTTATTATGTACATATTTCACTCCTGATTCAGACAAGATGACTTTTTCACTGGAGAAAGCATTGTTATGGATAGAGGCCCATATTTTAGCTGGAAGCAACGGTTTGAAGTTAAAATGTCTTTATGGACGGGTTTATCACAAACATGAAGCTTTCTGCTTCACATGACATTAATTGATGGACTGGTGACATGTGGATTACTTGTGGATTGTTGTGATGTTTTTATCAGTTTGGACTCTCATTCTGACGGCACCCATTCACTGCAGAGGATCCAAGTGGTGTAATGTTAAATTTCTCCAAATTTTCATTTTTGTGTCTTTATTTCTCTCTCACTCTTCCCCACCCAGGTCATTTGGTCACCATCACTCACGTGTACACTGGACAAGGTAAGAGAAACTGCATTCATAAATCATAGGGTTCTGTGGGAGAACTGCCTGTTTCCTTGTCACAGGAAATGCATCCCTCCTTTAGAGGTGGCTCATAATGTCTGTCTTTGTTCTGAGCACAACTGCATGACTTTATTTGATAACACTGAAGGTCTCTGGTGCATGCTGCAGAACAAACTGCCTGCTGTGTGCTTGGGCCACAGTCTGGCCTACTGTCAGTGCTCTGTAAATGAGACACAAACGCTCTGAACTGTCGGTTGTTCTTAATCATCCACCTCATGCCCACTGGCTCAATCGACTTGATGCTTTGAATGGTTTTCATATTGTTAATGTAGCAGTGTGTTGGTTTGTGTGGAGATCTTAAAATAAGTAGTGGTTAACACACACGCTTTGACAACTAGAGATACTATTCTACTTCTTGCTATGATTTCCTGTTGTTCGCTACTGTACTAGTAAAAAAAAATGGTACAAAGGGTGTTTAAAGTTGAAAATAGACCCTTCTGCTTGACTGATACAAAGAAGTGCTTTGTTTTGTGAATTTTGAGTACATATTATGCTAAATAAATGTTTCAACAAGAAATATTTAAATAAAAAAATAAAAAATTGTGTACCTTTATGTGTACCTTAAAATATTAACTTAATGTATACATGTAAAATATTAACAATTTTATATATATATATATAGTGAAAAGTGACGTGACATGTGGCCAAGTTACCCATACTAGGAATTAGTGCTCTGCATTTAATCCATCCTTAGTGCACAGCAGTGAACACACACACACACACACCGTGAACACACACCCGGAGCAGTGGGCAGCCATTTATGCTGCAGCGTCCGGGGAGCAGTTGGGGGTTAGGTGCTCGCACTTTTAGTGTTTCATTCCCTAATCTGATGTGAGCAAGTATTGGGACAATTGAACTTTAAGCAAATGTAAAAGTTTAAAAGCTTATACTTGCTTGCAATCACAGCAGTGAGTCTGCCACGCATAGACATCACCAGACTCATGGTTTCATACATTGAAATGCTTTTCTCAGCCTTTAATAGCCATTTTCAACTGTTGCTTGTTTTGGGGAGTTTCTGCCTTTAGTCTCCTCTTTAGTTGGTGAAATTAATGTTCAATTGGATTTAAATCTGGAGACTGACTTGAGCAATCTAAGACCTTCCATTTCTTTGCCCTGATAAGCTCCTTGACTGAGCTAGCAGGGTGTTTTGGCTCATTGTCCTGTTGCAATATGAAGCACTTTCTGATGGGTCTTGTGGCATTTTCTTGAACATTGGTAGCCAAGATGTTTTTGTACACTTCTGCGTTCATTCTGCTATCACCATCATTCGTTAAGTCATTAAAAAAGTTGAGAGAGCCTGTTCCAGAGGCAGCCATTCATGCCCATGCCACCACCTCCACCATGCTTTACAGATGAGGTTGTATGCTTAGTATCATTTGCAGTTCCTTTTTTTCTCCACACTTTTGCTTTCCCATCACTTAGATAATAGATCATCTTTGTCTCATCTGTCCATAAAACTGGTCTTGATGAGGTTTGCATCTTGCTGTGTAGCCTCTGTAATTCTGTGTCAAAGTCTCCTGTGAACAGTAGATTGTGAGATCATCACCCCAGCTTTCTGGAGGTTGTTGGTGATTTTACAGACACTTATTTTTTTCACAGCTTTTATGATTTGTCTGTCATCAACGGCTGTTGTTTTTCTCTGCCGACCAGGTCGTTGCTGTAGTCGCCAGTGGTTTCTTTCTTTTTCAGGACATGCCAAACGGTTGATTTCTCCATGCCCATTGTTTTTGATATAGCTCTAATTGAGTTCCTCTTTTCTTTTAGCATCCAAATAACTTGCTTGTCTCTCAAAGTCAGCTCCCTCGTCTTCATCCTGGTTTGTGTGTGCAGTTATAGCAATGGCTATAACAGATACAACACATTCCCTGCTTTTAATATCTGAACAATTAATGCAACAGGACACAGCTGATCACTTAGAAAGACAACTGTCCCAATACTTGCTCACATCAGATTAGGGAATGAAACTCTAAAAGTGCTGTCCTTTTTATTTGGTAAAACATGAATATGTCGAAACAGCTAATAATAAAATGTGACATTCTGTAGTTTTGTCTCATATTCATCTTTTAATCATATATGCAGATGTCTTGACTCAAAGACAAAGCAATTTTGTTATTACTGTTCCAATACTTATGGAGGGCACTGTATATACAGTGGGTACGGAAAGTATATTATAAATATCAAATTTTAATTTTTATCTTTATTATTAAATATATAATTATACTAGTATATAATACTAATTATTATACTAATTGAAATAGAAACCTATTATAAATTGTTTTCAAAAGTTGAAAAGGGGTCAAGATTATTTTATGCTTTTAAAAAGAAGTCTCTTATGATCAACAAGGCTGCATTTATTTCAAAATACATTAAACAGTAATATTATGAAATATTTTTTACAATTTAAACTAACTTTTGTCTATAATGCATTTTTGTAATGTATTTTCAAATGTATTCCTCTGATGGCAAAGCTGAATTTTTAGCAGTCATTAGTCCAGTTAATGTCAGATGATCCTTGAGAAATTATTCTAATATGCTGATTCAGTCAAGGAACAAATTAACAAAAGAAATGTGTATCAATGTTGAAAACTGTTGTGCTGCATAGTTTTTTGCTGCACATGACACATTTTTTTATTCTTATTTTAATAGGAAGCTCAAAAGAACATTATAAATGTCTTTTATTGTTACTTTTGGGAAACTTAATGTATCTTTGCTGAATAAAAGTATTAATTTCTTTCATAAAAAAAAAAAATCTTACTGAACCCCAACTTTTGAATGGTAGTGATATAAAGAGGCTTGCATTGGGATTTTTGTCTCTTTGTCTTATTCCATCATGTTATGATGTGGTAAAAATAATTGTGTACTAGGTTGTGAGCAGGTGTTAGTGAGTGTGTTTGAAGAATTGAGCTGCTGTGCTGTTTTCAGGTGCAGTGGTCCTGCAGATCAGCTGTTTCTCAGAGGCGGAGAGGATTTACATGCTGGCCAAAGACACAAGCATCAGCGGCAAACAGCTCTACTCACTTGTCATACCTGAGATCATGGTACACCATCTTTTTGCAAAGCCATACTGCACATCCAATAGTGACACTCCGTGGTTGTCACTTATTTTACATGCTTTTTTTTAACAAATAAAGAGCCCTTAAAAGGGACATAAAAAAAATTAAATGGGAAAAATTTCACAAAAACCTTTGAGTTTACTCTCGAATCATTTGCGTTCCCTCAAGAAACTTTGCATTCACTCACAAATGTTTTGCAAGAAAGTTTCTTGGAGGAACACAATAGTTTTGTGAGATAATGCAAATGTTTTGTAAGAGAAGGCACATTTCTCTTATAAGCAAATATGAAAGCAGTGAGACCCACAACTGCTTCAAAATAATCACCTGTATTAACTTAAATGTAATCAGTAAATCACATGCTGTTCATTGCAACAATAGAGCTCATAATGCTGGCCCAATCTTTATATGCATCTGCTCTCTAGTGGCCAATAGTGAAACTACAGTACAATTCAACAGTCATTTCAAGTACAAATGTAACCGTTATTTTCTCTCCCCACAGCAAAGCAAGCTGGCCAAAGGAAGTTGCCCCCTGCTAGTCTTTGTCAACCCTAAAAGTGGGGGATTAAAGGGTAGAGAGATCTTATACAGTTTCCGGAAACTTCTAAACCCTCACCAAGTGTTTGAGCTGACCAGCGGAGGACCACTTCCTGGGTTAGACCAACACTCCTTTTGAATGATGTATGGATGTTGTGACTGACAAATGGATGAATACTGTCATTTCCCTTCTCACATATAAGAGCTTTTTGATTGTACAGGTTGCACACGTTCAGGGACGTCCCTCACTTTCGTATCTTGGTGTGTGGAGGAGACGGCACAGTGGGATGGGTGCTGGGGGTTCTGGAGTCCATCCGGCACAAAATCACCTGTCCTGAGCCAGCAATCAGCATTATACCACTGGGCACCGGTAAATGATGGAGGGAATATTCCTAATTGAATTCTAGTTTGCTATATGTTTTACTAACTGTTAGCATCCATTGTCGTTTGTGTTCAGTTATGCTCTGTGTTTGGCAGGGAACGATCTGGCTCAGGTGTTGCGATGGGGGGCGGGCTACAGCGGCGAGGACCCCTACAACACCCTGCTGTCTGTGGACGAGGCAGAGGAAGTGCAAATGGACCGCTGGACAATTCTTCTGGATGCACAGGAAATGACAGAGGATGGCAAAGTGAATGGCTTCCTAGAGCCACCCAAGGTACATCACGAGTCCCCAAATTACAATAAATATGATTTCTTCAATAGTATTGTTTTTTCTTTTTCTTTATTAAAATAAAATGCATATGATTTAATTTAACATTTTAATTGTTTGTAATAATTTATATAATTCATGCACTTATTATAATATATATTATGTATTACTTATCTATAATCTATATTTAATAATAATACTAATAATATACAATAATAAGAATATAACTAATTATAATATTCATTAAACTTTCTATTTTTTTATTTTGTAATGCAGTATTGTTTTTTCTTTATTTAATTTAATTCATTAATTCTAATTCATTAATTAATTTAACATTTTAATTATTTTTAATAATTTATATAATTCATGCACTTATAATATATATTATGTATTAATTATCTATAATCAATATATAATAAGAATAAGAATAACATAACTAATTATAATTTTCATTAAACTTTCTATTTTTTATTTTGTAATGCAATATTGTTTTTTATTAAAATAAAATATATATTATTTAATTTAACATTTTAATTATTTTTAATCATTTCTATAATTCATGCACTTATTATAATATATATTATGTATTAATTATCTATAATCAATATATAATAAGAATAAGAATAACATAACTAATTATAATTTTCATTAAACTTTCTATTTTTTATTTTGTAATGCAATATTGTTTTTTATTCAAATAAAATATATATTATTTAATTTAACATTTTAATTATTTTTAATCATTTCTATAATTCATGCACTTATTATAATATATATTATGTATTAATTATCTATAATCAATATTAGCGTAGAGGACGCAAAACTGTTTTTGTTGAATGCTCTCAGTCGACATCTGGAAAATAGTGGAGCCTTTGCGTGGCTTTTGTTTGTGGACTTTTCGTCTGCATTTAATTTTTTGCAACCTATTATTTTAGGGCAAAAACTTATTAGTCAGTTTAATTTTAATCATTCAATTAATTTAACATTCAATTTTTTAACATAGGAAACAAAGGGTTAGAGTTAATGGGGTCTTATCGGACACATTAAATATTTCTATAGGTTCACCACAAGGCTGTGTACTTTCTCCTGTTCTATTCATATTGTATACAAATGATTGTCAGAGTTTGTACAATAATAGTTATTTGGTAAAATATGCAGACGATACTGTGCTTTTGTCTTTGCTGTCATATCCAGATCAGGAATATGGTCCGGTTTTGGATGATTTAATTTTATGGAGTAATAGGATGAAATTAAATTTGATTGTGTCAAAAACGAAAGAGATGATCATCATGATGATCAAGAAAACACTTGCAGCTCAAAGGGTGGTCATTAATGACACACAGGTTCATTTAGTGGAGGAATACAAGTATTTAGGAACGATTATTGATAATAGGCTGAAGTCTGATCAAAACACAGATGCAATCATTAAAAAGTCACATCAAAGATTGTTTGTGCTGAGGAAGCTGAATTCTTTTAATGTACAGAGAGTCATTCTCAGTACTTTTTATAATTCATTTGTTGAAAGTATCCTGTCTTTTCCTTTATTTGTTGGTTTTCCTTATTGTCTACAAAGAACAAAAATCGTTTGCAAGGTATTGTTAATATGTGCTCAAAAATTTTAGGTGTTCCCTTGCGAAGTCTTACATTTTATTATGAACAGCAAGTGATGAGGATGGCACATAAAATTATAGGAGACTGCACACACCCTTTGAATGATTATTTTAAGTGGATGCCTCTTGGGCGACATTTAAGGTCAATTAGATGTTCCACAAATCGGTACAAATTTACATTTGTGCCTGAAGCAATACGTTTATGTAATAAATTTAGTTGATTTAGATGATTTATTTAATTAATTAATTTAATTAATAAATCCCCCCCCCCCTCATATTTGGTGTATTTTGAGTATTTGTATGTGTGTGTTAAGTGTTGTATATGTGAAGCACCACGAAAGTCTGAATTAATTGCCCCAAGGGGATTAATAAAGCTCTAAACTAAAACTAAAAAATATATAATAATAAGAAGAAGAATATACAATAATAAGAATATAATAACTAATTATAATTTTCATTAAACTTTCTATTTATTTATAATTTTGTAATGCTTTTAGCTCTGCTTAGGAATTTTCCACTGCACACATTTTGCAAGGTACTAGTGTGAAGTGTGAATCAGTCATAACAGGGTTTACCTGTCTGTGTTTTAGATTGTGCACATGAATAATTATTTTGGGCTGGGAATTGATGCTGAACTGAGTCTGGACTTTCATCATGCACGTGAGGAGGACCCAGACAAGTTTAATAGCAGGTGACTATTGTTATTTTACCTCAAATGGGTGGCCGTGTGACTCACAGTTAAGGTGAGAGTGGTCTGTGTTTAGGGATTTTGATTTTGTCATTGTTCTTGCAGGTTCCACAATAAAGGTGTGTACGTAAAGGTGGGCCTGCAGAAGTTGAGTCACACACGAAACCTTCATAAAGACATCAGCCTGCAAGTGGACAGAAAGGACTTGGAACTGCCCAGTATAGAGGGACTGATATTCCTCAACATTCCCAGGTAAACACACAGTGGTAGTAAAGACGCTTCCACACACCTGAGTTTGTTGTTGAAGATTAAAGCTGCTGTATGTGTGTCTAGCTGGGGTTCTGGTGCTGACCTGTGGGGCTCAGACAGTGACTCTCGGTTTGAGCGGCCCAGGATAGACGATGGGATGCTGGAGGTTGTGGGAGTTACTGGTGTTGTGCACATGGCGAGTTCTTTTTTTTTTTTTTACAGTAAAAAAAACAAGGAATCACAAAATACCGTAAAAACAGTAATATTGTGAAATATTATTGCAATTTATATATATATATATATATATATATTCAAATTTTTTTATTGCAATATTTCAAATATTACTGTTTTTGCTGAATTTTGATCAAATAAATGCAGCTTTGGTGAG